CTGGAGCTAGTTGACTGACAGTTTTACCAGAGACGTGGTCATGTAGCAAAGGCGTGTCCATGACACTTACTCAGAGGCTTTAGCCTCAAATCAGTCACCCAGGCACAGAGGATGGGCGAATTACGCATCGAGTAGCACAGATGGGAGGGCAGGGGTCGAGTGTTGTACAGGCAGATAACAGTCAGATTATACTGATCAAGAGGTAGACTATGATAGTACCCAGGGAAGGAGGACTACGTAACAATATGGCAGACACTGGTCAATATTCCCAGCACAAGGGTGAAAATGGTGATTACGACAGCGTGGAGTATGAATGGCTTTCATAAATGCCGCTCAAAAGAGCACACCACACTACAGCTAAACAGGCACGTTAAAAAATTGTGACTAAAGGTGTGATAGGAGGATATAGGAAATGTGAATAGCCCAGGGCAGAAGGGGAGATACCACAACTGTTTAGCATATGTTTGGTCAAAGGATAAGCTTGCTTGTCTCTGACGCGTTGTATGGTTGTAAGACTAGCGAGACTCACTGATGATGCCGGCGAAACGTTTGGGAATGCACTACGTTCAGGGTCCGACTTTGGAAAGTATTGCGCATACAATGGACTCCGGACTAGTTGCGTTCCTCTAGGTCTTCCTACATATATGACCAAGTTGCGAAAACAAGGCCAAACTTCTAGTCGCGGCGCCCTTTTTCAATTAAAATTTTTCCATGGCGCCCTACGCCAAGTATGTCTATTCGTAAGTAATATATAAAAATAAATAAAACTCGTGTATCTTTATTATTTTTTTACTTTATTGACATTAAATTAATATTTAATAAACAATGTGATCGATGAGCCTGTAAATCGCTGCACATTTTCTCAAATTGAAGTTATTACAATATTTCGCGGCGCCCTGTAATGAGGCCGCGGTTCCTCGGGGCGCCGCGCCGCACAGTTTGAGAATCACTGCTTTATACAATGGTAGGAGACTGCGACCACACAAAGGCCACACCATCTTGGTATTCATACTGGTTATTTTTATGTTTAGCATAGTCAATTGGCAAGCGGGTAGGAAAATAGGGAGGGCAGAATTTAGGATAGGAGCCCTGCAAATAGAATCTGGTATCGGTGGTGGAGATGATTGCGCTTCATTAAAGCAATGTGTAGGACACACTTTTATGCGACATTTAAGGAAACGAGAACATAATTGTGTGAATCGCCTTTCTGTCGATGTCGGCGAAACGTTTGGGAATGTACTCAGCCAGTGATTCAATGCTGGAAATCACGAATACTATGACTGAGGACATGGGACTAGGTTCGTTCCACAAGGTCTTCCTGGCGCTCCGACCAAGTTGCTAGAACAAGGTTGAACCAACACTATAAATCTAAATGATACTGCGACCAAGCAAAAGGCTATACCGTCTTGCTCTTCATATCTACAATTTTTACTATTCAGGCGGAGATTATTTAGTTAGAGACACTCAAGCCGAGAGCTTTCTCATGTTTTCATCTTGCTGTGGTGTTCTATTTCCAAGAAGATAGGAGGACAAGTAAGCAATTGCGAGACAGCAATTTTCAAAAACCTCTGACACTTTCTTCGGTTATACCCTCTTTTAAAGAGAGATATGACCCACTATTAAGATCCGGCTGTTATAAATTTATGTGCTCCCGTGGTCGTTCAACGGATATCTTAAGCTCATCAGCCAAGAAAGACGTATTAGGCTACGCAATCACAACCAAACTTCTTCTTGGATCATTAAACCTTAATAACCCAGAAGAACGGTTTCTGTCTGGTGGTTTCGTAACCTGGCTTTCACATGTTCAAATCTACATTTCATCAATTTAATCAGAGTTGTTTACGGACTAACACAATCTATATCATCCTTTTTTCTTTTCTTTTTTCATTGGATTATTAAGCCCTGATGACCGAACCGGGTCATTCTAATTACTCTGAGATATGACCAAGTTTTCTTACAGACTTTAACATGCATACGAACACAGACACACTAGAGTATACATGAATTTACCAAACCGTTCTATATCTATTTAAATCTTAAATTTTTCTCGCAATGAGTATATATACATATCATATAGAAAAAAGTCTCTTTGACTTAGTGTTAACTTGAGACTTTTGCAAGAATGAGTCCCAGTTATAAGGATGTTCGTCACATGGCGAACGAAAGCTCAGCCCATCTTCTCCCGAAACATTAGAGGATGCTTCGTGGACTGAATCAACCTGAACATCATATTAATACCAAACGGCTACAGTGCAACACGAATCAGTCGACGTCTTCAGTGAGATTGATCTACGCATCTATTAATCATGTATTCTTATGCGAAATAAAAGTCTACATCAATACTTATCTCGTTGCATGAAATTCTACTTTCAGTTCTTAAATTACTTTAAGCGATCTAAGGTGACTAAATTTATCATTGAAAGCTTACTTATAGTCTCGAAACATGCATTTAATACGTAATACATAATAATACATATTCTTTAGATTTTGTACGAAAAAAGCGCCTTAAATAAATATTTGTTAATTGGTCATAACTTGGAATCCTTAATACTCTCATCTTTATCCATTTTGATAGCAATTTATCTTCTCTACGCTAAGCTCGAGGAGGAGTATGGACTTGCAAAGCGGGCAATCCGAATCTATGAGCGTGCCACTGAAGCTGTGCCTCCTGAGGAACGCTTTGAGGTATATCTATTCTTTGTTTCTTTTATTAGTTTTCTTGCCGATTGCATTGCTAGAAAAAGCAAATATCAATTTCTCTTTTAACTTAAGGAAAGTAAACACATTTCTTATATTCTATAATCTATTGAAGTTGTTAAATCTTCTATTTCATCTGCGATATAGGCATCAGTGTCGAAATATTCTAGATGGTCGGAAAATAAGATCACACTACTTTGGCGATGAAAGCCTAAAGGTTTTCACTTTATTTGACATTCAAAAGTACTCTATATATTATTCAAATTAGAATAAGTAATCTCTTGAGATGTATTAATTCTTTTTCATACATTCATATATTTTTAATAGTTACGTTCCTGTGGAGCCATATTATTAGCTTTATTACATTAATATGGTGCGGAAGATCCAATTTCTTAACTTATGCTACACAAATAACTCCGATGTATTCAATCATCCATGCGAACCTCCAAGTATCTTTTGATGCCTTTTCCAGATTTCCTTTGGCCGCTTTTGGGAAATTCTCCGAAGAAATTTG